TCACAACTTGTCTGTTGCATGCTTTACAAAGTTTATCATGTTCTTACTCTTGCAGCGCTTTGCCTCTATCCTTGTTCTCTTTGTTTAAATTTTCAAAGTTTGCTTCAGGCTCTTCTTCAGGCCCCGCTTCGGGGCCCGAAAGCGGGATTCGGGACCCGAAAAGGGTAAAACTAGTTTCTCATTTTGTTTCTTGCTGCTGAATATAATGTTTTCTTCATTGCATTTTCTTTTGCTTTTTTGTTTGTTCTCTAACTGCTACTTGGGACATGCTTGTATATTTTCAGAACTTTGCCATGATACTCTGTCTTTTCTTTCTTGTTGTTTTCTGAATTTGCTTCAAGCCCGGCTTCGGGCCCCGAAAGGGGGATTCGGGCCCCGAACGGCTTCGGGCCCCGAAAGGGGGATTCGGGCCCCGAACGGCTTCGGGCCCCGAAAGGGAGATTCGGGCCGTTAACGGCTTCGGGCCTTGAAAGGGGGATTCGGGCTCCGAACGGCTTCGGGCCCTTCAGCCTTCCACTTTATACTTTAGCTGTTCGGGTTTAGATTTTCCAAAACTGCTTCAGGTCTGGTTACCGAAGCAGTTTTGGAAAATCTAAACCCAAAAAGCTAAAGTATCAAGTGGAAGGCTGAAGGGCCCGAAGCCGTTCGGAGCCCGAATCCCCCTTTCAAGGCCCGAAGCCGTTCGGGGCCCGAATTCGCCCTTTCGGGGCCCGAATCCCCCTTTCGGGGCCCGAAGCCGTTCGGGGCCCGAATCCCCCTTTCGGGGCCCGAAGCCGGGCTTGAAGCAAATTCAGAAAACAACAAGAAAGAAAAGACAGAGTATCATGGCAAAGTGCTGAAGATTTACAAGCATGTCTCAAGCAGCAGTTAGAGAACAAACAAAAAAGAAAAAGAAAATGCAATAAAGAAAACATTATATTCAGCAGCAAGAAAAACAAAATGAGAAATTAGTTTTGCCCTTTTCGGGCCCCGAATCCCGCTTTCGGGGCCCGAAGCCGTTCGGTACCCGAGTCCCCATTTCGGGCCCGAAGCCGGACCTTCTTCATGAAGAAGCTATATGAAAAGAGAAAGGAAACGGTAGCAAGAACAGAACTTCAAAGGCAAAGCGATGAAGGACACGACGAATATGGAAAAAGAAATACAGACTGCAACTTAAGCACTGGACAAAGCCAAGAGAACAACATGATGAGTGACGCAAAAAAAGATGCAAAAAGACAGGCTGTGAAGAACGACAACAAACAAAAATTGGAACCATTAACCAACTGGTACGAAAGCCCAAGCAAAGTAAAGAGATGTTGAATTAAGAACTGTGTTGTGGAAACGGTAGGAAAGGAATCAACCCCTTCTAGAACCCTGAGGGCAAAGAGTGGGACGGTCGATTGCAAATATGTTGTTGTCAGTCATTGTAGCGAAATGGCGTTCAAACGTGTTTTCTTTTCCGGGTTTTTGTCTGAAATACTTGCGCCAACAGGTTTCATCACAACAGCATGTAGGGGGAAACAATGAACCAGCAGCGCCTCAGGCTCAACAATGGCGACGAGACCGACACCAACAAGAGCAAGAACAACAGCGGCAACAACCTCAACAAACATACCAAGAACCACCAAATGTACAACGGACCAAGAAGCCACGGCCAACAACACCAACCATCAACCAGAGACGAATGACCAGCACCAGAAGACAACAATCAACAACGAATAACGACAACTATTACAAAGAATAAACGACCCCACAGCAACCAACGACAAGCAACAAGCAACAGCATCAAAGACCACCAATGACCAACGAGCACCACCATCGCCACCAGCCAGCACCAGCACCAACACCAACACCAACAACAAAAACCACTACCACCACCACCACAACAACAACAGCAACAACAGCAACGGCCAAAGGAAGCCTGCTACAATTCCGGCGAATCAATGCGGAGGATCTCGTTTGAGGAAAACACTGTTCACTGCTGAAGAGGCAACCAATGTGTCACTTGTATTTTTCCTGCGCCGAGCCTTCACGTTCGTGAAGCCGCGTGAGTGACAATAAAATTAGAAACCACAAGCTGGCTTCTGGATGGGTTCCTGTAATACCACGAGGTTTGTTGTTGAAAAGAACCTTCCAGAGGCCGTGCTTGTACCCCTGACTGAAAAAGAACCCCGCTGCACATGTGCTTTCACATGTGAGCGCCACTGGTGCCCCCTCAACAATACTTCAAGGCTCTAGGTGTGTATGTGTGTGTGTGTGTGGGTCTATACTTGTTTTATACCTATACATATATAATATATCAAAATATATATGTGTCTGGCTATGGGTATTCTGTGCCAATGATAGGCAATACTTTGAAACTCTGCCGTCTTGATTTACATTTTACATGTCATGGCTCTTGCATGGCCACACTGGAAAGCCACCGACCAAGCTGGCTGTATGGCCATTGCTGCTGCCATAAGCGGCCATGCCGCCAGCAAAGCTGTGAGGTCAAGCTCCTGATGCGTAGGGCTCCAGAATGTTTCAAGCAAACACCTCCTCATTCTTACGGGTTTCGGACGCTGGAACATTTGCCCCGCCACGACTATAAAACTTCCTTGCGAAAATGATTCAATGTGGAGGTGACAAGCTCATCAAAAAAATCAAGAAAGCTCAAGAACTGACAAATGACAGAACCTGCCATATAGAAACGCAACTCCCGGCCAAGATCCTTCGGCAAAGCGCACTGAAAACAGCAGCTGCCGCAAAGATAAGCGCAATGGCTGCCCAGCTGCAACGCAAAGCCCCGGCCACCTGCCGAGCATTGGGGAACATACTGGAATCTTCTGGTGCCCCATTTCTCTCTTGTTTCCCCCAAATAGAGAAAATCCGGTTCAGTACCAAACCAGGCTGCGGGGATATAGAATTCTGGAAAGAAGGGCAACTTGAAACCATCATGCTTTAAATCAACACAATATATTTAAAAAATCCTCTTGTCAATTCCCCCTCTAAGCCAGGGTCCCTGATTCTATAGAGGTACCTAGGTTGAAATGAAGTAAATTCACTATAAAATCTAGAATTGGCCAGACTCTGAGCAAAGGTTCTAACCACTATAAAATCACAAACCCTGGGATACAAAAGTACCACACTCATTTGAAACCATGTTCCCTGAGCATGATTCAGGATGACTATGAAATTGAAAAAATTATTGTTGGATTAGTTTTCAGACATACCATGTCCCGTAGGCCCACATTCAGCAGGTCAGGGGTTTTGATTTCATAGGGGAAATATGGGCAGCCTAGATGATGTGGGCTTTGTGGACCCCCTTCTTTATGGACCCAAAAATGGTTCAAAATCAAAACTTTTGATTTTATAGTGCCTTTAAATGCCTGTCAAATTGGGATAATTTGGTAATATTTAAGCTGCCCCTGTAGTCACATTCTATCTTCATTATCAAATACCAGTAAATGGAGACTATAAAATCAAAAAATCCTTTACCATCCTTAAACTATCCATGTACATAACAGGTGGTGTGGGCTTTGTGGACCCCTCTCCTTTGTGGACCCAAAAATGGTTCAAAATCATCACTTTTGGTTTGTGCCTTTAACAAAGACATGTATTCTGTATCATTCTGTCAATTTGGTATAGTTTGGTCATGTTTAAGCTCCCCCTGTAGTCATATTCTACGATTCTATCTTTATTATTATTGTATATTTTTGTATATCAGAAAATGGAGACTATAAAATCAAAAAAATACCTTTACCATCTTTAAACTATCCATGTACATAACAGGTGTTGTGGGCTCTGTGGACCCCCCTCTTTGTGGACCTGCCAAGCGAACCCGACCCCCATGAGCCAGTTTAACCCAGCGAGCAGGCTTGTCCACTGAAAACACTCCACGAATATCCACACATGCAGTTCACTATAAAATCGAAACCCCTGGGTCTCCTACCTACCAGCATTATCTGTCTATAGAATCGAAACCCCTAGGTATCTGTACTGCTGCACATACATGGCACCCCCAGCTCTCTATAAAATCGAAGCCCCAACTCAGAGCCAGCCCAAATGCACCAGCAAATCTGTATAAAATAATGGGTTTGTAGGGCACCTGGGTATCCTGATTATATGGTGGAAATTGGCATGGGGATTTTAAAAATATGTGTACATGTGGTTTCAACATGGGAACCAAAAAAAACTAAATAAAATACCCAAAATCCTGTTAGAAACTACACTATGACGGCCTCCGGCAAAGCCAATCAAAAGACGTGGCTGCAGCGGCTGCGATGGCAACAGCCTTGCTTGAATGCCCTTCCCAGGTTGGCTGTACACAATCCCCCATGCCCTGGTGTGAGACATGATCTCGCAAATGGGGCTGTATTCATTTATATATTGTTACCATATTATCGATATATGTTACCGAAAGTTTTTGAATTCTTTGACAAGGTCGTTGATACTTAAACGGTGTTGGCTTCGACAAAATCATCAGTGAATTATTTCATGCCATATAGCTTATTGAGACGTACTGTATCAGTAAAGTCCGAACAGACTAGGCATTCCTCCGAAGCACTCAAATAAACTAGTGTACCAAAAGCTATGCCATTCCTGTCTGACTTGTCCAAGGTGTCCAAAACTGGAAGGTATAGCCCCACCTAGCAACTGCCCAAAAACACAGCGCCTAGCAAAATGCCAAAATCATAGCTGCCGATCTGTCTCCCAGCCACCTGACAGCAGAATGCCGGAAACACATGTCTGACAAGTCAAGTATCTCGGGCTGGGTAACTTTTGATTGGGTGGTGGTATGTCCTAATGTGGTTTTGGCACCCCCCAGAACATCCCAAAGGTGTTTGGCAAACAACAAGCGGATTGGGCCATAGCAAATGCTCTGCACCCCTCAAATGTTGAACGGCGATGTGACGTGTTCAGAATTAAGGCCGCATGTCTACCCATGCATGATGAAGATTTTCGTCATTCCTGAAGGGAAAATTTGGGAAACTACATTCCGAAGTTTGGAATACTGTGATGCCCATGCCGGCAAAGCCTCACTAATGCCACTGAACGCATTCGGCCACCAACTTGGAAGCAGTAGCCACTACGCCCATGTGCTTCTGGATTTCTTTTCGGTTCTGCTCCACAAACTCCTTGCTGGCCACAATGTTCCCAGTCTTGTGCCTCCTGTGGCCGGACAGTCTGCTGGAATCATATCTACCAAGGCTCACTCGGCTGCCCCCCAACAGTTTATGATGCACCAAAACAACATTTCAATATATCATTATATACTACACCCATGATATGTTGGTATGCCGGACCTTAACTAGGGGATGCCTAGCTTCAATCCTGGACTATTATGTTCATCAGGGATGGAAATGACAGATAAGAAAAACCAAACAACAACAATCAACAAACACGATGAATTCAATGAATTCTTGAAAACATGCTATCTGCAATCCATCCTCATCAAATCCGTATGCAGGGCATCCCTTAGAAACATGGTGCGCTCACCGGGAACAATGTATATATAAATTACATAAATATAATATATATATATATATATATATATATAAAAGATTTATACAAGATATTTGGCCTACAGATCATGTGTGGGTTGAAGGGCCGCCGTCATTCAAGCCAAGGCGCATGTCCTTCCATTTTGCCAAAATGTTCCAAGCAAAGCCACCTAGATCAGGCTTGGCAGCAGACACTGCTATTGAGAGCGCTTTTGCAGCTGCAGATGGCGCAGCAGCTTCTGCATTGAGGCTCTCGTGGAAATGCACCTGCCGCGGCACGGACAAAGCGCAGCTCAAACTCACGATGCCCGGGACTAGTTTGCCCGTCTTCAACACAGCTCGCACCAGCCAGGGCCGGCGACATATCCTCCAACCAGCACCGCACTGGCGGTGAACGTGGTAGCATCTCCCGGGTGGAAAATCATACCCATCTCTTCCTCCTCCGAAGAGCAGAGCCAAACAGCCTTTAAAGAGGATCGTAGTACTTCACCGCACAGTTTGCTGCAATCCGGCCCATGTCTAGGCCAAACCCGAAAGTCAGCCCCAAGGGCATTGAACTCATCTTGGTGCTTCGAGGTCGTGGCAATGATCAAGGTTCCAAATGACAAAGGAGGTTGTTCAAGGGCAAGCGCCAAGGATCTTGTCTCCAGGCTGCGTAGTTTCGACTGCTCAGCAGCGGCCATGTGATCCCTTAACTTACGCGCCGCATCTGGGTTTGCCACTAGCCCATCTTGAAGGACTTTCTGTTGCTGCTTCGCTGCGTACTTGGTCAACCTCTTGGCAAAGCTTTCTTGCTCTGCGGTGGCCCTTTTGCGGGCGTGCTTCACGACCGTCTCCTGCAAATCTCTCAACTCAGCATAGGTATCCGGGTCGCTTGAAGAAGTCGTGGGTTGTTGGTCGCACAGCTCAGTCATCTGCTCCGCTCTTTTCCGTTTCAGATTGGCCATGGTAGGTTTGTCATCCTGCGGTCGAGGAAGGACCCTCCGAGGAAGCTCTGAAGTCTTGCACCCTTTCTGCTTGACAGAGGCGAACATGGCGGCGTATTCCTTTTGAACTTTCCAACAGAAAGGTGTGGGGATCACTTGCACGCCAGCCACACCGCACTTGTGCTGCGCCACATCGCTAGGAGATGGCCCATCCAAGCGACACTTCATCATGTTCCTGCGTGGCTGGGTAAGTTGAAATGATACTTTGGCCCGCGGGAACAAATCGAAATCTCTTGTATCTCTGGTGATTTAGCGAAAACACACTCAGACCCTGACAAGACAGTAGCACTGGTAGTGCTGCTTTTGCGGCCCTCTGTGTACATTTGCAAAAACGAGAACTCCCGCTCCACGGAACTGGTGGATGCGTAGGTCGCGAGCATGAAGCTCACCTTGGAATCATAATTTTGGAGATACAGAAAGAGCAAAAAATAACAACACGTTCGTGCTTGAATTCATTCCTATACACATAGTGTCATCTGTGCACTTCAGCACGCTACTTTTACAAGAAACGCTTTTGCATCAAAGGAGCTGCGGCACACAGAACAGGTAGCTTGGAATTCCAGTGTTGGCACACCCGGCCCCAAAGCACATCAATGCTTCGGACCCCCGACCTTATCAAAGAAGTCTTGGTCGTAGCTGGAATCACGGAACATCGTGGCCAATCACGTTTCCAACACCAAAAAAAAACTTTTGCCACCCCGAAGGTAAAACAAAGCTTGAAAACCGCCCAGAAGAACAAACCAACTCTCTGTTCCGAAACCGGCCCCGAAAGCCAAAGTTCTCCCAAAGGATATCCGCAACTTTCCGGGCAATCAGGTATTCGGACGCCAAAGTTTTTGCCTGAAGGCGGCGACAAAACAACAAGGTCAAAAGGACAACTGCACAGACAATTTGGCTGTTCAATCTGGCAATGTGCGGCCCTGTTATTTATGTAGATGGAAGACCCCGTGTGGTCAGATCGGACGTGGTTCGAAAAGAGGCCTGCAAGCCCAAAGCACCACAAAGAGGCTCGAAGACCTCCGGCCTAGCTGCTGGCAAGTCAAGGTGACCAAGGAAATACATTTGCCAACCAAACACGTCTCTTTGACATAATAAAAATGTATGATCTCGCAACTTGGTGCTGCATTTAAAAAGAATATGAAAAAATCCTCACACAGGAGTCGCAGGCAAAAATCAGTTTCAGCTTGTATACCAGGCCGAGGTCACAATGAGGCATCAGACTTGATAGCCTTCCACCAGCGCACATCAAAGGGTCCGAGAGATGCACTGATGTGCGTGTCCGTATCAGCCCTCACTGCCTGCAAGAACAAGCGGCACACGTTTTGAATGGAAGCCAGCTCTTTGGCGATCGTCTTGCGGAGGCCAGCGGATGTGCCACATCCCGCTTTGTACCACAGCAATCTCTTTCCATCGTGGATTGCCTCTGTGCTAAGCAAGTCAAACCTGATCGCAGATCGCACGAACATCTCAGTTTTGCGGGGCAAAAAAGAAGCAACACTTTTTCAGGAGTAAGCTTGGGATACAAGGAAATAAATCTCAGTAAATGAGAAGCATTCACTGCGCATGCCCAATTAAGCATATATTTAACACCGCCTAAACAAATCTGCAGGCAGGGGACTCCTTGATCAAGATTTGCACAAAACCCGAAGTAAAATCCTCATTGAGAACCAGCGGTTGGCGGATAGAGCCATCAGGGTCCGTGCTGTTCTGGAAATTGAAAAGGTCGCCCAACTCCTTTTCCAGCTGCTGCACTGCACGGCCTGTTTGAGCTATGGGAAATTCCTCCCCCTTGTCGAGCTGCCGCACAAAGCGCATGGCAGCGGCCGACAGCTCGGCTGTTAAAGCCAAAAGCAATAGGCTCTTCGGCTTGAAGGCCTCGAGGATCTTCTGCGACCATGAAGATGACTCCATGTTGATGAGCAAAGCAAAAAGGTGCTTGACATTGAGAATGATCGCTGTTGCGCAGTCACACAGCGTTCCGAATCTCTGAGGTGCAAATCCCCAACTCACGAGTTTCCCCATCACATCAGACAATTGCCCTTGCAGCTTCGGGCTGTTTCGGATTGCACGGGCGAGGCCTCCAGCATTGCTACCATCCCCACTGGAATAGTTGTTGACCAGCAAGCCAATCAACTGGTTAATCCGGGGGTCTTGGGCTAAACTATTCTCCAGGGCCCGGGTCGCCGAATGCACGCCACATCTCACAACGGCCCTCAAAGAGGGTAGTGTTCCTTTCTCCTGGACAGGAAAGTTTTTCGGGTTTGAAACGAGTTGCAATGATCCAAAGGTTGCCCGGAGGCATCGAATTCAACAATTGAATAAATTTGATTTGCATCCTACGAAAGTCTTTCCAGGAAGTAGATGAAATATAGAAGTACCTAACCAACGCCACAACATTCTGAACATTGTCTTCATCAGATGCAGGTAGCTGAGGCATGTTGCGCAAAAGCTGGCCTTTGCAAATCGAGCGCCCAATGGTTCAGCGCCTTCACCATCACTGACAAAGACCTGCAGTAGGCAAGGCAAAAGGCAGAACGCAGACGTACACAAAATGTTGCAAATCATAAAAAATAACACAATATAATATAATAAAATAAAGTAAAGTAGAAAGGAATAATGTAGTAAAAAAGCAAAAATACTTATATAATATAATAGTAAAATGCAAAAGTATTAATCTACGTGATAATATTATATAATATTATATCATATAACATCAAAAGAAAAACAAAATATAGTATTGGTATAGAATCATATAAGACAACACAATGTTATATATCTTAAGCTAGTACTTATAGCAATGTCACGTCGAAAAAGCGTATAGACGAAGTGCCAGGGAGGCCCCCCCCCCATGGAACTTCCCCTTCCCATTGCCAACCCCATGGAACTTCCCATCGATGTGGCCTGGGTCTTGTCTTTGATCACCTTCAACACTTCGTCACCGCCAGCAAAACGTGCCAGGCTCTGCTCCAGCATGGCGCACTTGTCCAACGCTGTCTTCTTGCCATTGGTGCGCGCCAGATCGATCAAAATCGTCCGAACAGAGAAGTCGTGCATCACAATCCGAGCCTTTATGAGCTCATACGAGCCCCGTCCATCCTCTAGAGCAGGCGCGTCACCCGCAACTGGTATTCAAATGTATTCAAAATAATAGGAGGGCCCATCAAAGCTTGAGAAAGAAATTGTACTTGCACATCAACCCACGCCGGACCGGCAAGGTCTGTTGATCACAATCCTCATGTTCACAAATCAGTAGCCAGTGGCACAACATCGATAAACCAATCAGGCAATGCAAAAGAAAGAAACCGCCGGCATTCATGTGGTTTTATCCTCCAACAAGAATGCCACAATCTGTATGTTCATTATGTTCAACACGTCGACGAACTGTCCTCAGCTAAGCCAATGCTTCGAACACTCTTGGCATTCTTGCCCAACAGCCACTCCCTTTGCTCTTGCAAGAGAACAGCAGAGCCAGCTGCCAAAATCTTGGTATGACTTTCGCCGCTGCTACGAGCGATGGGACAAAGGTGTGGAGCATCCCGGTGCGCTTGCATGCAGCGACTTTCATAGGTTGATCTCTGTGCCGAAGTTGGGCTGTTCAGAACTTGCCAGCTCAGCAAAACCTAGTCGACAGTCTTCTCTTTTCGGCAAACATAGATTTAAACCGGTGGTTTTGGTGGCATTTATCATCTATATACAGCTTACCAGTTCAAATTTGCTTCTTTCAAAAACCAATTGACATGCCTGCCTGGTATGGAGTGACAGGAAGGCAGGAGTCGTCCGCATCCCCCGATGGCCCATCAGGCACTGAAGCTGCCAAATGGTACGCCAATGCCCTGGCATGCGTCTTCGATTTCTGCTTGGCACGGGACAAGCCTCCGTGCCGCAGCAGATCCTCCACGCCCAAGTGCCGGGACTTGAGCACGTAGTCCCGCGCCAGTTCCTTCAGTTTTAGTAGAGGGCCGAACAAAGGTCCACAACAAAAAAACAGAAAGCATTGCTTAGACCAAGATATATAATGGAATCCAAGTGTCGGGGTGGGCCTTCGCAAAGCTCATGCAAAGCACACAGGACAAAGCAAAGGCATCAGGATCAGTAGGGTCTGCAGGAGCTTCCACCAACCAAGATCTAGGCAGGTCACAGCCGCCCACCAGCAATAATCGAAAGGGTTGTCCCCGCATTATCGAAAAGACTGATGATCGAACCTACCTTATAATACATTTTAGATCATTTTAGGGGTTGGGCAGAACAGGCAGAGGATTCACTCCCAAGATGCCCCAGGCAGCCTCACCACACCTTGGTTGTCTGTGTAGACGCACCGCTGCGCCCACCGCCGCCCATGCTTGATGAACCTGCAGCGGTTGCAGCTCTTGACTGCCAGCTTCTCCTGGAGCTGGTGGGTGGTGGCCAAACACAAGATCCCAAATTCGTGGGTCAGTGGAACAAGACACAAAGCGGCTACCCCTTTATCGATTTCCCCTTTCTTCGAAAAATGCAATGGTCTCAACTCCGGCCAAAGCACGGAGCCAAAGCGCTTCAAGCACTGCTTCCAGTGCAAATCGTGCCGTGGCTCCATGGCTATCGTTGATTTCCAAAATGGAATGGCAATTCTGGATATCTTGATTGAACTTGCATTTTTACCGAGGCATACATGCCAATTGAAGGTCGAACGTTGGCAATTGTTTTGTATCTCTCTTGTGCTCTTGGTGGTTTCAATTGCCTTTTTCAGTCTGCCAGTGGCTGCAGACTTGAGGTCAAAACATGCCAAAACACTCATGCCCTAAAAAGTTTGAAAGTTGGCTCCCGGTGAGGTGAGCAGCAGCTTGAGCCCTGAAAGGCTATCTCCGTAAAGAACCTTGTCTCCAGACAAGGCCACCTGGTTCTCCTCCAAAATTTCCACAATGGTGGATACTGACTCGCCCAGCACCATACCATCACAGTACCCAACCAACTCTGACTCGGTCGTTGAGAGAACTGCGAAAGGCTGCAAGCGAGAGTCCCACTGCACCGGAGAACCCCCATACAAGGCGATGAGGCCCTGATGTCCTCGTTGGCAGTTGGAACCCAAAGCGGCATCACTGTAGACCTCCAGGGTCCTCATACTTCGAGGGAATGCCAAAGAGTTGTCTTCCCCAAACCCACCTTCACATTTTCCATACTTCAGGCAAAGCTCTGGAGTATTCAGCAGATACCCCAGGGTATGTCTGCTGTATGTCAGAACCCGACGTGGGCACTTCGACACGTTCCAGCCCAACCAGGCCACAGCATAGCTCAAATCCGGGCGGGTTCTGCAAGATGCCCATAAAAGTTCGCCGACAATGGTCTGTGCGGCCCGAATGTCCAAGACCTGGATGTTCTCTTCCTTTTCCTCATCCAACAAGGCAGGAAGAGGTGTCGTCTTCGGCGACAAGTTGGAGTAACGGCCCAAGACATCCTTCACGTAGGACCGTTGAGAGAGTAACAGGGCACCATCCTGCCTTGAAATCTCAAATCCACAAAACTTCATCCAAGCACCCGTGGAGACATACTCCGGCTTGGAGCATTTCCAGACCTCCTGAATCTTCGCCAGAAAGCTGTCGACCAAGCCTTTGTTTCCCACGGCCATCACGTCATCCACGTAGAGAGCTACATAGCCCTGAGCCACGTCTTCCTTGTTGATCGGCTCCTTGGTGGGTAGAATCTTCCAGAGATTCTGCTCCGAAGTTCTCACCAGATGGAACTCCTCGGTTCCAACCATCCATCGAAGCTTACCCAGAACGTTGTTGCGATAACTGGACCAATCTGCTGGGGACGATTGAAGTCCATACAACGCATTTTCGATGCGCCATAGGTCACCTTCATCACATATTCCGGCCTCAATCAGAATGCGAGGCGGCTTCATGATCAAGAGGAATTGGGAGGCAGCTCGGCGAGGAGCCAATAGGAAAGCTGTGGCCACATCCAGAGATGCCACCGTCCAGTCCTCTGCCGCTGCTTTCCTGGTCAAACATCGCAGGAGAGTGCCATCCGCGCCACCCGCATAGGTAGAAAATGGCGACGACTTCTCCACCTCGACGCTCTGTTGACCCCCATCAGCCTTCTCGATCCTCCATGAGGTTGGCCTCCATCCCCATTGGGAATCGGATCCTCGACCTTCGGCCTGGCTGGGCTCCCACTGACCGAAGTCGGCCTCTGCTCCTCGGCCTTCAGCTGCTCTCCCTTGGCCAGTGAGTCTTTTTCCTTCTCAGCACCCTTCACCTTGGCCACCCTTGGCTGCTTTGTATTCCTGGCTTTCTTGGTTGGACAATCCTTGGAGAAATGTCCCACACCAGAGCAGACATAGCATCGATCCTTCTTCTCGACACCATCCCACAAATGGGTATAACTACAAGTATCTCCACGTCGGCAGCCGTTTGAGGTGCCCCAAAAGCGGCAAGGACCCCTTGACTTCTCGTCCTGCCCTCCATTGGCCCCCCTAGACATCGCCACTGCCTTGAGCGACGTGCCCCCGGCACCGCCACTCGAAGTTGCGGCCACTCCGACACCCTTGGTCGAGGCCGATGCCATCAATGCCAGCTCCTCACCTTCCGCTTGGAGGAATTCGGCAAACTCCTTGACCTCCGACAACCCCGGTCTTTGGTCGACCTGCAGCTCCTGACGAACGGCTGAGATCCGATACGTCACTTGGTTCCCACCCATGCGGCTCAGCGCCTCAGAGACCTTATTGAGGGCCTGCATGAGTACCAGGGAATCTGGTATCGTCAGACGAAGCTCCTCTGCACGGGAAATCCATCGTCTCCATAGCCTAATCGAGCTCAGGACATCTGCCACTGAACTACCAGGCTTCAAGTCAGTATAAGGTTCTTCAGGAGAGCACTTCGTTCAGCTCCTCCGCCAGGCTGGAACACGACGAAGAGGCGGTAGAGTATTGACACCATGGATACGTTGCGGGCCCCAACGATGTCCCGTCGAAGGGCTTCTGGCAGAATTCCCAAGAGCATTGAGATTCCCCTCTGCTCCAGGCGCTGATACCCTGGGCCAACCTCCACCGTGGGCTTGAGACGGAGACGTTCCAAGGGCGTAGATTCAAGCCATCGCCCATAGAACTCCTCAGCCACCCTCAATGTCTGTTCCCACCATTTCTTCGATGATGATCCCAAGTCTGACATGAGTGGACTGGCTATGGTCAGCCAATCTCCGAACTGCAAGGCTGCTCCTTCAGCTCCAACTTGTGGCAAACCTGGCAATTCCAGATGGCGCAGCGATTCAGAAACTACTTGGTCGCCTGCTCCATCAGATATCTTCACATGATTCAATCCCGGAGGAGGTTCCAAAGATGGACCATCAGCTTGAGGCTGCCGAGGAACCTGCGACTGACCTCCACCACCACCCGCACTCGTTGCCGTGTGATAGGAGTCACCATCGCCCTTTTCATAGATTCCAAGCTTCTTCACCTCCCTGCCAAAGGCCTCTTCAGCCTCCCGCAGGATCCGAGCACGCAAACGTTCAACTTCATCCTTGGGGCTTTCCACTGGATTCTTATCACGTCCAGAAGTCAAGCCACTCACACCAACCTGTCCGGCCGGCGAACCACGTTGATCTCCAGCTCCAGGAGCGCGTTCCATGGCACCCCTGCGAACTGCGTCACTCCAAAAAGGATTCACCTGTTGACCTTGGTTCTGTCCAGGCGTCCCGTATGGATCCAAAACTCTTGGGGCTATGTCAGTTCTGCCCCCAACTTGACCTCCGGCACGAAGTCCATCAGCGCTTTCACAGCCTCCTGAACGTCCAACTTCAGGTCTATGGCCCGCCTGAACTCGAGCTGGAGTACTTTGCAAGAGCGATCGTTCCCCTCTGTCGTCGAGAACACCACCCCTTTGAACACCTTGATCATTGCCTTGAAGAAGGGGATCTAGTAGCCCTGGTCCCGGCTGTGTCCGTCCCAAAGCTTGTTGAAGAACTTCATAGGACTGCCGGACCGCATCTTGAAGTTGGCCAAGCCCCATGGCTCTGGCTCTGGGATCATCCAAGGCCTCCATCGGTCCGCCTTGACGCTGGCCAAGCCCCATGGCTCTGGCTCCGTCCTCCAAGGTTCCGATGGGTCCACCTTGCGCCCCACGACCAGCAGCCTCCCGGCCTCCATCATCCAAGGCCCGGGTTTGGTCTCGCCCATCCTCCAACCGGAGTCGGCGGACACCAGCCACTGGCACCGAAGCCGCTCTAGTCCTTTCCTCCTCCAACAGGACTTCCAATCTCCTGTCAGCGACCCCGATCTCCAACCTTCTGCCCTCTCCGGCACCACGGCCAGGAGCCCGAGCGCCTTGAGCCTGATCTTCACCTGGTGCTCGTCCATCAGGCGTCAGCTCTCTGGCCCTCGAATTTTCTCTCCGCCGCAGCGTCGACAACGACATGGTCAGAGACCCAAGGTTGGGCTCATAACCTGCGAAACCAGGTTAGCCGCCAGCGCACAGCAGCTAAGTTTTCTTGAGCCAAAATGAAAGTAAGCACAAAGGTTTTGTGCATATCATCCTTAAGCAAGGGCCATGCTGGCCTTCTAATGATTCCATGGAGACACTTCTTGATTTGTGCGTGTCATCCTTGTGAAAAAACGGACATCTCACCACACACAACAACTATCAATATACTAACATACGTACATAATCATATATATATACATATATATATATAAATATATATAATGTTATAATATATATATATAATGTTATAATATAATACATAAATATATATATGTATATGACTGTATGTTTTTAAAAGCCATGGGCCGCTGTAGCCAAACAAAACTCGCCAGACCAGCGTCTGTAGCTCCCAGCCTGAGATGAAGGGATCAGAGATGGCCAACAAGCCAACTGCCTGGAAGAGGTCGCAGCAGTTGTGGAGCAACTGCCAAAAATTGTGTAATTTTTATATGATCTATACTAACTAGGATATTGCTGGTATAGATACGTATACTATATGGATATTACTGGGATATAAGTACCTAAACCCTCCATTTCTACCCATCAACATGGTGGTTTACCCCCAAAAAAATTGATACATTGACCGATTTTTTGGGGTATTCCGAGGGTTTAGGTAAACCAACATGAGCTATGGAATTCGACTGTTTTTCAACGGCAAATCATGGTTGCTCACCGGACATAGGCAGGCAGGGTGACCATCACAGCTCACATTTTCAACCATGATCAAAACTGTGGATGGCTGCGAAATCCTGCACCAGTTGGTAGATGGTTTATCCCGTTCTAATCCCATTATTTAGGCTGTTTCATAGGTACCAATAGAATCCAATAGATACCAACTGGTCAAAGATTTTGTTCAATGTTTTTTCATATTTACCACTAGTTACCAACTGGTGCAGGATTTCGCAGCCATCCACAGTATGATCTGCACCCACAGTTACACCTCACTACCGGAATGTGATCATGCACATTGTCATCCTCCTCCTCCTCCTCCTCGCCATCATCACCATCATCATCATCATCATCATCCAATTTATCGTAAATGTAGTCAGTATGCATGTTCATCATTGTTCATCAAGATTGTCCTGAAACAAAGACCGAAAATCAAAAAACATGTTGTTATCCCAAATTGCAGCAGCTGGTTGAATCCCTATGTCCCCTTCTTCAAACATATCTGTTCATGATATGGCAAGGTGCCCGAGAGTCAGCTAAGATGGTTATATTTTTCTGGCAAGTGGTAACTGGGGGGCACTTCCTTGCACTATGTTGTAGAACCTTATACACTTAGACCATGTTTAATCTACCCTGGGGTAACGATGTGGAAAATCCACCATTTCGAGATCATTTTCCTCGGAAAACCCTATCTGTTTTTTGCACGTTCACCCTGGGGTAGCCATTGCCAACCCCAGAAATCTCGGCGGACCGTGGCACCGTGGCCAAACGAAGGGACTTCGGCAGGACGGTCACCAACGAGGCACCCAACCTACAAGTCATCGGGAGCCCCAGCGGTCCACAGATGTTGGTTTATACTATACACCCCACGAATACTATGGTCATATTCCCGATAAACCCCAACTTGGGATATAAACCAACTTAATTTAATGGGATATATCATGATATATCAAGGGACATGATAGAACCGGTATCAAAAGAAACAACAGGAATTGAAGAAAAGACTGAAATGGCAAATCAGGGTTTGAGGCAGCTAGAATCACGGTTTGAACCTGGTCCACATATGGAAAAGGCTCGCGGTTCAAACATGTCAAAGCCTATGATTGTTCGTGTGGCCAAGGGCATAAACATCCGCAAGTTGTTTCGGTATAGGGTGCAGAGGTCTTGAGACACATGAAACCACTAGATGACCCCTGAATAAGGCTTTTGGGCCTTCTTCAGGGCTGATGAATCACCCACAAGCACTATATAATATGGGCTTCTTTAACAGCTATCATCTGGGGAACTGGTTACTGTAAATCTCCATGATTGCTGATGTTGTTTTTGTTGCTTTTGTTGCTGCTGCTGCTGTTGTTCTTGTTTTTTGTTGCTGTTGTTGTTGTTGCCTTGGTGCCTTGGTGCCTTGGTGCTTTCAACCAATAGTTACTAAGTGGTATTTCGGGTTTTCGTAGAATCCCTGGCAGGATCTTCACAAGAGAGGAGCATATTCCAACCCATCAACCCAAACCACCAATTCAGCATTAGAAATTGAACTAGCAAATGTTGTTTAAAATCTACTGAATGATACTTTGACTGCTAAAACAAAGATGTTTGTCTGCTTTGCTCACAAACTTCCGGCCGACTGCCTTCAGATCAGCCAAGCAACAACGCCATGTGCGGGAAGAACAGCATTTCTCAGCCGGAGTTTCAGGAATTGATGGGTCACTTTCCAAGACAAAAGCATGGGCCTATATCTCATACATATACTGGATACCAGGCCGTGCATGATTCCATGTCATGTAGGAACATGTCAAAGACCAAAATACGCTGTAAAGCACACTACACCATCAAGTTTTCGCGATCTGGACTTTTTCAAACATCATTTGTCTCTGTGGAACCACAAGAACGTCTTTATCCTGAAAAGAATATATCCATATATATCTATATATCCTATAATCATAGATATAATTAATATCATCACCTGACATCACGATGTCGGCAAAATGAATAATTACTGTAAAAACAAAATAAAACTAATAACACATTTCTCAAGATACAGTAACCTCCTGGAGAAGCAGTTTCGTATGGTATTTACTGTGTTCTAGCGTTCTAGCTTATCACATGGATAGGGGGGTGGAGACCCAATCGCGCGCCTACAATTACCTATGCTATCATATTGTCATATACAGCATACACCTGAAAGTACGTACATTCCCACAAATCAATCACAGGTCTTTCTTGAAACTAAAACAAGCACATCATATATAATACATGAGGATACAAAATCAATCAATCAATCAATCAATCAATCAATCATATCAGCACACACACAAATGAGCAGTGTTCAAAATCCCTCTATCATTCCATTATACTGGTTGGTTTATAGGGATTTCCCTATTGGATTATTATAATCCCCAATATATTGGGTAGTAAAATCCCCTATAATCATCAACCAATAGGGGTTTCGAACACTGCTCAAATGGAAAACAGTGTATTTGAGCTTCCGCATGCACTGTATCATCCGTGCCTCATTTATCATGTCACTTTAATGCCAGCGTCGATAGCGCATCATCAGCAAATAGAGTGGCGCAACGGCCAAAGCAAGCAACCCCCTGCGTTGCTGCTCCATGTGGCAAAGATATGCATGAGGATTAACATGATTTAACAAAAAATATTCAACAATGTGCCAATTGTAATTCAAAAAGATTGAGAAACCATTTAGTGGAACGGCGGCTTGAGGATGCTTGAGGTGTAGTACAAGCAAATTGTTTATAGCCGTTTGGGTCTCAACATGCTCATCTTTCGCAACTTCAGGCGCACAATGACTCATAGATAGATTCTTCCAACCCCCTTCAATCGCATTTTGTTTTCGATTTCGGAGACTTGCCGAACTTTGGGATCATGTCATATCTATCTGCCAATTGAAGACCCTTACTACAACTCCTGTCAATTGGCATGTAGTTCAATGATCAAACCCGATGGCTTGAGGCAAATTTTGTGGATTTCAGGGCCGCCTGAGAGCATTCAGGAAGCGTTGCTCTCGAGGAAGGCAAGGAATTCGAAGAAAAGCGATGGCACCTGGTGCGGCGATCATTTTTATCGCTGCGCACCGTGGCTATGTGGCTGAAAATGGATTACCATCTGGTTATTTAACAGTTTGCCATGGAAAGATCCACCCATTTTTAATAGGTAAACTCAGGTAAACCATCTATTTCTATGGGCCATTTCCCATGGCTATGTTAAATAACCAGATGGTAAATTATACATTCGCAACTAACATGGGGTTTCCATGGTGATACCCCAAGCTCGCTGGATGCGAGCTGGCAACCACCAAGGCTGCGTGAAACCTTGATTTCAATTGCGGAAAAAAACAAAACCTACCCCAGATAACCATATATATATGTATATAAAGAATTAATAATTAACCGCTATGTGTGTCTACAATATATAGATATTTATTTGATAATTTTTATAACATGCAACTACACTACTAGTACGAAACTATCCGTCCAGTCGGCTGACCGCGAAAGAATCTCCTGAACCGACGCGCACGGGTCAAAGTATGTCGTCAAGTAATACAAACATAAACCATCAGTTTTCACTGTTGGATAGTTGGGTCTGATTGAAACTTAAAAAAACATAAAGTTTATACTATTTCAAGTAGTATTATGTATAATAATTATATATACACCCAACATTCTGGAGTTGCTAACTTGGAATTTTCTTCAGTATTGTCACGACTCAGAGCAAAAACAAAGTTGAGTCTACCCACATCTACCTACAGAATGACATAAAACAAATCGAGGTTTATCAATGTGTACCAACTCTATGGCCAATCATAGACACACTATTTATGTTGTTTTTTTCGGCAAAAGATCAGTAGTAGCCATAGCCATCCAAGGTTTCTCTGAAAACAGGATAGGGATACCTACAGTTGACCTACATATAAAATAATGGTAATTTAAGGGGTTACACAACCGATTTTCAGATAAACCCAGTCATATTTGATAACATCATATATATATATATATACCGTATTTTATATGTATATATATATATATATATTCTACATCATCCTACATCTATAGATCCATGAAAATTGTATCCCCATCAAATCTCTCCATATGTTCGCTCACTTTTGCTGGTTCAATACTCCTTTTTGTTGATCCCAAACTTTATCCCCGTGTTCTCATTTACTGAGTAAACCACCATTCTATCTCCATGATATTCCCAGTAGATTATTATGAAGCCCCATTATATCCCAATTCATTATATCATATTATATCCCCATATATGTAGCCATTCTATCCCCAGATTATATTCATTGTATTATGAGCAATGATAATCCTATCCTTAAGGGCTCCGAACTAATCATCCTACTTGGAGGATCATCTTACGGTCCTCGGGACGTTTTAGAATCCTGGTGATCACAACTCCAGTCGCGACTGTCGCGACTGTCCCATTTATTAATGGCTAATTCCAGTTATAAACCATAATAGTTGTAGAGATTATATCATAGTACAGTAATAGTTGTAGAGATTAGATCATAGTATATCCCAATTTCTGGGGATGAACATCTCCTAGTTATAGCCATTAAAACCCACTGGCCTGCCCCCCGTGCCGTAGCCCACCTGCCAGCAACACCAGCTGCCGCAGTTCCGCCAGACTGGGTGGACTGAAGCTGCGCTGGCCCGCGTACAAGGCCACCTTATTTTAAGGGGTCCAGGGCCATGGTTCCCTAGATCTAGCAGCAAAAATATGGCGATTCAATAGTGATACTCAACGAGGTACAGATTGTCGTGTCGACCCATCCTACAAAATAACACTACACCGACTACACCCGAAAAAAAAAAAAAAAAACGCCAAGTGAAGAACTAGATGAAGAAATCCAACACTGAAACAGGATTGCATTTGGGTGATATTTAATATCCACACCGTGAATTAAGATTCAAGTGGCTGGGAAAATGGTTCGTCAGATTGAACATCCGTTAGATGGAGGTGCCAACCTAGTAGATTGAAGTTATATACATTGTGTTGATTGAAGTCAGTGTCTATTCCACTAATGTACTCACTACAACAATTCCAAAAATGACTTCAGTTATGGCCCTTTATCAGTTATAAGTACTGAAACAACTCCATATATGGTTTATGTATAATCCCATAGAAATAACCAGTAAAAACTAATAGCCATGGCCATTTCACTGTTGAACCTACCGTATTGGAGCCCAGTCAGTCCCTCGAACTCTTCTGCTTTGGTGAAGAAAATGGGGGAAGAATGGTCATCCCAACCAAAAAATAGATGCAATGTAGTGTAGATCCACATATTATATATAATTATAGATATTCACATCTGTCATGATCTTTCATATAATATATATATATATACAATTATATATATATATAATTATATATGTATATTCATTGTGTGTTATTAATGAATGATCAACCCTAAGATACATATCGTAGATCTCAAAAAGTAGTACTCGTCCCTGAGAGAACAGTCCGGTTTTTGGGAACCCCAAAAATGGCCTCATGGCTTTGCGACAGCCCGAGATCCCCAAACAGTGTCATAGCCATGGAAAACAAACACCAACCATCCACAGAAACTTGCAATCTTGCAGGGATAGTCGTTCAAGTCTTGCCATCAGGTCCTTTGAATTTGCTTCGGATTCAGGGGAGAAAATCGAAAATGGTGACTGATCACATGTGGCTACCCCGGCTACCCGTGTTGATTCCCACAATTTGGGCCCAGTGGGGGCACACTCCACGATGAATGCAGCTGGAGCAGCATGATAACTGGCTTCAGGTGCTACACCCACACCAAGTATATCATGCAACACGGCCTGGCTCTGCGGTCCGTGCTTGAAGTCACCATGGGGTTGAAACCTCCATATGGGCATGGATACAAGACTTTGAACACGCTTGAACCATCTTGAAGCCTCCAACCTCCAATGTTTAAATATGTGAAGTCAATTGTATGGATATCTACATTGTCAACATTGAAAGATATGGAAAGATATGTCCATGGCACCCTCCCACAAACTGAAGGTGTGGGAACTTCTTCCAGTGTAAAAAAAATCTGGACCAATGCTGATCCAGTGATCAATGATCACCAGTGAGGCTTTCTGCAAAAGACAAAGACCGCAGCTGAGAGCAAACACTGCTGCAGGAGCCTCTTGGTAAGCGGAGCTCATCTTTTACGAAAGGCAAAATGAAGACTCGATCATTTGGAAGTACCCTTGAATTCTTGAAGAGACAAGTTACCTGCTCAATTTTGGGATTGGACACCTTTTTTCTTCACTTCTTTTGCGAAAGATCTTGGCCCTGTGGCTCTCTGGAGTCAAGATGAGGGCACTATATAGGTATCATAGATTGTCATAAGGTATAATCCCAGAATGGTTCTAGAATACCGGAAACCTCAAGCTCAGTGCTAGAAACCAGGCTTTCCCAAAAGTTCTTCTTTCGAAAACACGCAGTCATAGAATATGAATCCAAACAATTCCTTAGCCCGAAGAAAGCAATGGTATCACCGATCTAACCCATCCGCTGATTGGTCACAGGTTATAAACCGATACGACTTGATTGTACCCTCTGGTAAACATTTACAAAAAACTATAGAACATCACCATGTTTAATGGGTAAATCCACTATTTCTATGGCCATTTTCAATAGCTATGTTAGTTTACCAGAGGGTAAACAAAACACTGGCTGGTTTTGCTGATCCCCTGCCAAGTTGGTGGCTGACTTTTCGCCTGTACTGAGACAACGATCCATGACAACGACCAGTTTATGGCGATGATCCATCCAAATATCCATGGGGAGAAAAAACATACACGTTTGTCTGAAAACCGGGCAGCCTAACTCTGGTGACTATCTTTAAGACTATCTTTGGGGTATGCCCTATTTTCAAACACACCCATTCACAGCCCATATGATTGTTACATATCCCAATTATTGTGGTTCAACCCACCATTTTCACGCAAACCCATGTATCATAGTGTTTCTTAGATATCCCGTGATATCCGAATGATTATAGTTATAATGATTATCCCATTGTCAGTTAAATCTCATATATCTTATATATCTTCATTATATTTCACATACCCTCTGGTAAACTGTCCCATAACTATGGAAAATCACCATTTCTAATGGGAAAATCCACTATAAATGGCCATGTTCAATAGCTTTTTGTATGTTTACCAGAGGGTAATATCACCATGAAAATGTTCAACCGCCATGAAACCACCATCGCATGAGCAGTGAAACCGAACCCCCTCTGTCATTCCATTGAATCCTGGTTGGTTAAGAACGGGATTCCCCGTGATGAAATCATCCCCAAGATATGAGGGGTTTTGAACAGATCCCCGAACTAATCATCCACCAACCATCATTTATCAGTTATATCCACTAATATTCCCATATTTTCATGGTTGAAATCCAATTTTAGTTGGTTAAAACAGTTAAAACCCCATGTTTGTTGGTTAAATCACAATTTTGGTTGGTTTTGAACAACGCTCACATGGCTTTCTACACACCCAATGGTCTTCCCATTGCTGGTTCTGGCCTTGATCCGGAAGATCAAGAAGGCAGTGATGTGCGAGTCATCCTGGCGTAGAACTACAGTAATCTTGAAAAAACATGTATAATCTATGATAACATGATAATCATTGATAACCTACGTATATAACCGGTATATATATATTTGTATACATGTAGTTTGTATAATACGTATTTCAAAAAAATGCATGTAAACAGTTTCATGTGTATAATATATATTTATATATACGTCGCCAAATCAGTGTGTGTGTGTGTGTTTTTAGCTGGACAGGGCAGCCAGATCATTCACAATCTCTGGTTCGGAAATCCCAAGGTCCCAAGTCACCCAGAAAAACGGTACTGTATAATACTGTATATGCTTCTGAAACATCACAGGAGGAACTTGCCTACTGCTCTATCTGTGCGGGGGCCGCTTTATAAGGCAAAATCATGTTGGAGTCATCTGAATTAAAATAGGTTCTTCCCCTCAACACAGCAGGTATTGAGTGTAGGCCCATGTACTCGCAGTCCTGCCTGTACCGCTGTACCATCAAACTCAAAATGGTACAATTCCCATAAATGGTTTCCGGCGAAAAGCACATATTGCAGGAAACCCCTCACCATTTGCTTGGAACCAAAAAAAACACAACATGGTTTCACCCATAAAGGTTTCCTAAGATGGGAGAGTACCCTCCAAATCATCCAAATCATTCGACAATGACTTAGTATTGAAACAACCATGGTGACTCCCAACTTATTGGGGTTTATAAAACGGTTAAATCTCCATGTTAGATGGTTTAATCGTTTAATCCACATGTTCTCGAACAAGCCAGCCCCATGATGAATCCGTCCTCGTTGGAAGACGGCCAAAGGTAGTGTAGCACAATCACTGCAACCGGCAGCAAAACTCGAAGCCTGCGCCGCCCGAGTTGAGTGAAAGACTTCCGGCCCATGTATACTGACTTATAACTGGTAGAGGGACACAACTGCGGCTCTATCAATTGGAAAGTCTATTCATCATAATCATATCCGGTCTTAGCATGTTTTCACAGCACACAATTCTCTGCATATATGTGCCATGGTCAAAAAATGGGGAGCCTCAAGGCGCAAGCTGCCACATAGCGAGGTAGCAGGGTGCCCTACCGATTGAGCCATGGAGTTCTCACATGGACCTTTGACCCAGGTCGTGAAGTACATCTGTGCATCTCCCACCGTGTGCCCTTGCCACTACCGGGTTTCTTGTATCTTGACGGATTTGAGTGTGGTCTTGATGAGTGTCTGACTTGTTGTCTTGGCTTGCTGTGTTGACTCTTGCCATTCCCTGGTGAGAGATGGACTTCGGTCGCTTAGCTACATGGACGTGGCCCACATATCGCCGATAGATCCTTGTTGAAGATCTCCCTTGATCGGGCTCGTGCAGTTGATCTGACTGGGTCGTTGCTGTGGGATCTTCAGAGGTTCTGTTGCCTGACGTGGATGCTTCTCATGGGTGAAATCTCAGTTCCGTAGTGACGGCAGGTCGCTGTCCACATGACATCGCAGAATATTGCAGATAGTTACCACTTGAAGACTTGAAGATGACACCTGAACTATGGAGCGGATTGACATCCGTTGTTTGCTTGCAGACTCCTTGCCAAGTGTTTTGATGTTTTGACAGGTGGAGGTGTTATACCAACACCTGAATGCTGGAACCCCATCCTGGCATGGCTCAGAAGTCGTGACCGCACTGTGCATAAGTTTGTTAGAGAAGGGAACGCCCTCAGTCGTACCAACGGTCAGGTGCCTGCACTTTGTGCTGGTTTTTCCTTGTCTTGATTTGCTTGCAGTTGTTGCTTGCTTGATATTAGTTTTCATCCAGTTGACATTGGTTCTCGTTGTACAGTCTTCCAAAATATGTATTTTTGAAGCAGCTCTGACGACATGGCAGTTTCTGTATGCCAGTGTCTTTTCACTCGGCAAGGGGCAACCGCGCGATGTGGTTTGTCAACTGCTATTCTTAGTGTGACATTTTCCTGGCATACGGCCAGTACATTGTAGTTAGCTGAGTGCTTGCCATTTTCGGTTCACCCCCATCCTTGCACCTCGTACCCCCCTTAACCGGGAAGGGGCGTTGGTGCTGCGACTTCCCTCGCGCAGGATTCCGGAAAATCCTTGAGTATATGCCCATGTTAGGGGGATTCATATACCCTCTGGTTATTTAACATAGCCATGGTACAAAGCTTGCACGAAGTACTTCCCAGTACTACTTTGTACTACAAAGCTTGCACAAAGTCCTTCCCAGTACTACTTTGTACTACAAAGTTTGCACAAAGTCCTTCCCAGTACTACTTTGTACTACAAAGCTTGCACAAAGCACTTCCCAGTACTACTTTGTACTACAAAGTTTGCACAAACTACTTCCCAGCACTACTTTGTACTACAAAGCTTGCACAAAGCACGTTCCAGTACTACTTTGTACTACAAAGCTTGCACGAAGTACTTCCCAGTACTACTTTGTACTACAAAGCTTGCACAAAGTCCTTCCCAGTACTACTTTGTACCACAAAGCTTGCACAAATCATCAAATCACCAGCTCAACGCCATCTTACCTATAACTAATCAACATACCCACAACCTGGAATTCTGCATGCTAATAGTGATCAGCTACGTGATCTCATAAGAAAACGGGTTACATATCCAAACTCCAGAGTTCCTATGCGTTCTTGCTAAAGGCACGACTTTTGCGAAACACACTTCCCAAAGGCACAACGATGTTTTCCTAAAACAGGTACGACTTTGTCAGATGCCTGTATAATGCTCACATGGCGTTAATAAACCCCCCCGCAATAAAGTATGCCAACTCCCGGTTCACAATAATAAAACCCCCCCGTAATAAAGTACGCCAACTTTTTTTTCCCGTTTTTTTCCGTTTTTTCCCTTTAGTATTCGTTTTCAATTAGGCAATTCATTTGGGAATACATAGGTTATTTTTTTTTGGAGGGAAAGTTCCCTTATGTATTCGTTTTCAATTAGGCAATTCATTTGGGAATACATAGGTGATT